GTAGGGGGATGATAGAGAGGAGGGCAGATTGGAAAAGGGGGTAATCAGAAGCAAGTACTTCTAAGGAGGGTCAGGGTCAAAAGAAAGAATAGAATAAATGGGGGGGGCAGATAGGATTAAGGAAAATAGAGTTAGTTTTTCACAGCATGTCTACTATGGAAGTGTTTTGCATAACTGCACATGTATAGCCTATATTGAGTTGCTTGCCTTATCAATGGGGAGGGAGGAAGGGAGAAAATGTGGAACCCAAAGTTTTAAAAACACATGTTTAAAAAAAATGTTTTCACATGCAACTGGGAAATAAGAAATACAGGGAATGGGGTACAGAAATCCATCCTGCCCTATAGGAAAATTGAAGGGGAAGGGGATAAGAGAAGGGGGGAAGAGATAGAAGGGAAGGCAGACTAGGGGAAGGGGTATTCAGAATGCATGCCATCTTGGGGTGGGGGGAGGGGGGAGATGGGGTGAAAATTTGGAACTCAAAATCTTGTGGAAGTAAATGTTGGAAACAAAAAAATAAATAAAAATTACCATAAAAAAATAAAAATCACAGCACTGGAGGAAGGTAGATCATTACAGATATCATATCATGCGTCATATATGAAATATATATATACACATATGTATAAAGTATATACATGTATATGTGTACATATGGGGAGAGAGAGACAGAGAGAAAGAAACAAGAGACAGAAAGAGAGACAGAGTCAGACAGAGACACAGAGACAGACAGACAGACAGAATCTTTTCTGCATCTAGCTACATTTCATCCTTTCTTAGTAATGTCTTTCTGAAAGAATGCTTCCTTTCCATTTGCTTTTGTAGATCTTTTTCTTCTTGGAGAATTCATTGTATTTGATATTTTTCTATTATCATATTAAATATAGTGAAGCATTTTAGTTTCAATTAAAATACTCAAACAATAAAAAAAAAGAAAAGAAAAGAAAAGAAAAGAAGGAATGCTTGCCTTGGATATGACGGGGCGGACAGATAAGTGAAACTAGGGAATCACTGTAATGGGAGGAGATAGAGCGGGGAGAGGCTGGCAATCAGAGAGAGAATGAACAATGATTTTGGAATTGACAAAGGGTCAGCTATTGAGTTGTACCTTGTATCACTCCTTGGGTAAGCTCTACCACTCTGACAAAAGAAACACATCCACTCTAGCCTTCAGATACCTTGGGTGGCACCCTCCAAGATTTGTCTAAATCCAAGCCCATTTTAGAAGTACTTTGGAGGATCCACTGTTTAAATGAATACATGAACCTTAGTAAATCTCAGTAAGCTAAGTGATCAAAGCAAACTGAGATTTGTTCATGTTTCATATGTGTGCAAGCATATATGTGTGCAAAACATCAGGCCTGCTGAAAAGGATGACTCCCTTACAGCAACGGTCTTTAGGGGTCTAACCTCCCCACCCCTACCCTGCAGGACAGCTAACAATTACTTAGTTTCATCAGTAAGAAACGTCTTTCAAGAATTGTTTTTAAGAGCTCATAGTCTGGGAACTAACTACATTTTAGCCGATCAGAATAGAATTCAGATAAAAGTGTAGAAATCCAGTGTCAGGAAGCTGACTTCTACACAGAAAGCAGGGATCCCAAGGTCAGAGCAGGCTGTACAGAGACAGGTCCTGGAACTAACCATGGCTGCATCCTCAGGGACCCTCCAAATAGGATACTGGGTGACACATGAGGAAGGGAAGGGCTTCTTCACCTGTTTTGTGTCCTGAACTCCTCTGGCCGTCTGTAGAATCCCTGCTATCTTTTCTCCGAGTAGTTTGAAAATGCAAAAAATAAACCACATAGGATTACTGAGGAAACTGATTCTACTGAAATGTAGCTGTGAAAACCAGCTCCCAGACTTCAAGCTAAACCCCTCTGGTGCAATGGAAGGCACATCAGAGAGTTTCAGAGTCGGCCTCTGGTCTTAGCTGTGGCAGCTGGAGACAACCAGGACCCCCGAGGTTTTACCCCTTTGCAGCCTATGGAGACATACAGCAAAAATGAAATGGTGGCCTGAGAGCCTAGAAAAGAAACGACTATTTCTACAGTTAAACTGAATTAAGCTAGTTTGTTAGAATAAGGATAATGATAGTTTGTCAAAGAGCGCAGCCAAGCATTTAACAGTTTGTTCACAAATGGCAACATAATATGGAAGCGCAGAGAAGGATATGAAACCTAGTTCATTGGCTGGTTCATCCAGGCTGGCCTGCTGAACACTGGTCCAGCTGCCTGGAGGCAGCAAGGTCTACTCTGAACCTTTAAACCAATCACAAGGGAACACAATGAAGACATTTTTCAGAGTCTATTTAAAAAAACAAGGCAAACATTGTAATACCCCACAGAACAAGCCTGGCTCCAAAAAGAGGTGAGAGGAGAAGCCCCTCTATGTCCTGGCAGGTGGGAAGGCCAAGGGTGGGGCACATGCACCCATTGTTTACAGAACTTTCTGACATACTAAACAGCTCCACCACTCTTTTCCTTTTTTCTTTCTATTCCCTTTTAACTGTCTGGTAAGGGAAAGGAAGAGGGGTAATGAGACGAATTTTGGTGATGTAAAAACATTATCAATAAAAATTATAGCACTGATTTTTACCTCCCAACTGGGATATGAGACCACCTACTGCCCCATTCTCCGACCTCCCCCTCTAACACAACAGGATACATAAATACATACATGCCAATGATTATCTGAATTGACATGGTTATACAAAACTTGACAAGGACAGAGGTGCTTACATGCAGACTGGGGCACCAAGCACGCGAAAAGACTATTAGAGGCAGTGAGGGGTACAGCAACTTACTCAAGGTGTTCATGGGACGCATGCCCTGGGCTGGCTGCCCTGGCTGCTGACTCTTCACTGGAGCTTGCGGCTGAGTCTGCATCTGGTTTCCTTGGTAGGTCAGGCCGAGAGCTGCATACGCCCGCTCTATAGAGCTAGGATCAATCTGACTGGGCGGGTTTAGGCTGGGAGTATTTTGCTGACCCACCCCTACAGAACCAGCATTTCCAATGCCCACTGAAGCTCCGGTCAATATTGCTAGAGAAGAATAGAACATATTAACATATAAAAAGGAAGTCATACATGGGGCTGCATAGCCAGTGGATTCTACTTTCAACTCTTCAACAAAAAAAATCTGCCAACCCTCCCTGCCCCGCCCCCAAAAAACAGTACTGAGAGAGGCTGGGGTGGAAGGAAAAGAAAATCAGCCTCTAGTTTGCTGGCAGATCAAAACGACTTTTACCAGCAGAAGATATTTATCGAGTGACTATGACCTGGATGCTTTGAGGTTGCTAAATGAGGGAGGGAAGAAAGGGTGTGTGCGTGAGTGTGTGTGGTGCATTCAACAATTCTGACAGGGACCTAAGAGCTGACAGCTATTATTGGCCAAGGAGAACAATGAAGCCCACAGAGCTTCTGGGACCTGTTGGTAAGTGTCACAGGAAGGATTTGAACTCGGGTCTTCCTGGCTCCAAGTGCAGTTTTCTATCCACTCTATTGTGTTACCTCACCAATAAAAAGTGATGACATAATAGTAAAAATTAAGGCTTTTCCACTTGACCAAACTTTAAAATGGTAAAAGGCCTTCAAAAACCTAACCTCTTGTGAATGAATGATATACCTACGTGGACACAACCAACAATACTAGCACCCAGGTGGGGATATGTAAACTCTACACAGTAACTGTCAGCGTGTTTCTCCTCAGGACCTTAATTGAAGCAAAAATTGTGTGACTCACTGATAAGATTTACAGAGACACCGAGCAGCTGGGAAGGGCAGGAGGTAAACATCCTTGTGGTGGATACACAATTTAAATATTCAAAAAAAGGGTATCTTATCTTGTTCTATCAATGTCTTTCAACAGCCTCTTCTATATTTTCTAATTTTACAAAACAATATTAGATTTGAGAACCAAACACGTTATTTAACCCTGGGAAGATATAAGGATTCTGAATTTGATTATGGCGCCAACAAGAATTAACAACATCATAGTGCTCAAAAATAAGAAAGAAAAGGAGAGCTGAAACCTAGAAAAGAGGACACTTTCCTTTCTTCAAGCGTGCACGAGATTTCACAATTTAAACATCTGGACTCCTGAATTCCACGTTAAGATTTCATGAAACAGCGGAGACAATGAGCAATGAGCAGTGACGTGATGGCTTACATTGTTGATTTCTTTTATCCCCAGCATTTTTGAGGGGCAAACACACAGGACAGTCGTGCCTTGTGCAATTCTTCCAGTGTGAGATGATTTGTCTTGAAGAAGCACAATGTGCCACTAAAAGGAAGAAGGAGGAAGGAAGGAAGATGTTTTTAAAATAGGAAATGCCTTCTGGTTCTTGCGCAGTGAGCAAAGATCAAGTCAAGCAATACGGCAATCTTCACGCCTACAAGGAGGGGTATCTGTTATCTACTCTACCAACAGCCAAAACATGTAACCAGTTTAGGCGATCAGACAAATTAGATTTAAAACAAACCTGACTTAGCCACCTCCCAAAGGACTCAGTCTCCCTTGGTTATCTTCTCCAGCTCCGGGGAAGCAAAAATTGGAGGCCAGAGAAACTCAGAGACTGCCTCACATCCTTCTACTCTAAGGACAGCATGAGGGCAAAGGCCTGAACCCCTAGGACACAGTGATCTTCCTAGAAAGGGAATGTGGGAGTGGGGAGGGGCATCCAACAGGTGGCTCTGGTCTGTTGGCAGACAAAAAGTGCTTTTGCCAGCAGAGAACACTTTTAGAATCTGAGAAGGCTTTCCAGGTCCTGAGCCATCAACTCCCACTTTTATTTCTCCTCTCAGGCCCACGAATCCCACCCCCACCTTCCTGTGTTCACTGATGTCATCACATTGCCTCAAACGTTCTCCTTCAGGCTGGTCAAAATCCCCTCAACCTTCATGGATTCAATATGAAGCCTGAAACTGTTGTTCTGAATACCTCTAACTTCGGCTTACAGGGTAGTACCTGGCACTCCTTTCTTTATATACGGTCTTATATTGTTCACAAGTGTTATATACATTCCTTGAACAACATCACCAAAGCTTTATATTTTTTTTCATTTACCTCCCACACAACTGAATAAAGAGTAGATGGTCAGACTTCATTTACTTGTTAAGGGGTAGTACCACATCACAACTTGAGGAACCCTGTTCAATTGTTTCATGACATATTATGTGGGATCAGACAAAGGAGGGACTCCTCCCCCACTGCCCTACCACACACGCCCAGACAGGACAGTTACAGAAGACCCCCTAAACACACTGCAAAGCTATGAAAGATCCCCGACTTGCTTTTGATAACTGAAGGTCTAACCTCTAACAACACAACGGCCAATGACAAATTTGATTTTCCTGGGAGCTAAAGGAGGTCCTAGTTTTTTTAATTGTCATTTCATCAGAATATGCAATAAGGGTTACCATTCTTTGGCTTACTGTCTCTTGATAAGAAGTTCATCTTAGAAAAAGCTATGCCCTGAAGGTGTCTTACAAGCTCAATACATATGATAACTTTTCCTCTGAGCACATGAACTCTTTTTCCCACAGTGGCAACAGGCACCTTTGAAACATCTGCAGCAGGGAAGCACCCAGACTGGTGATGTTTCCCCAATTTACTCTCCAAAGGGTAGAAGAAGTGGACCACTATTCTGAACCTGACAGTATCAGTCAGAAAGAAAGGATTACTGACGAGTCTTAATAAACCAAGTTGTGCCGACGTCACTGAGAAAGGGGAACGGCAGGTAAAGCCTGATGCATCCTTGGGCGAAAAAGACTCCGTGGGCCTTCACCATGACTGTAATGGAGAGGAAAGGGGAGCTCTGGCTAATGACAAAGACGCAGCCATATGGGAAACTCGAGGACCAAAAACCATGCAGGAGGCAACAGGAGACCGAGGAGTTCCAAACCGGCTAACCACTCTCTGACAGCAAAAATCCAAAAACCATTGCTGTAGAACACGATGCACATATCCAAAGACAGCCAAAGAACTGTTAATCTATTATCCCTCGTCCCCAGCCTTCAATGGGAAGCTTTCATAAAACAAGGTAAATGCGGAACATACAAGGAAACAGGCCAAACATCCAGGTGTTGATGAGGGTACGAAAGCTGTAGACCCAACTGTGTCCGCACTGACCACAACCCACAAGGGAGGAAAGGGGAAAGGAGGAGGTGGAGGAGCAAAGAAAAGTGGAAGAGAGGAGCACACGGAGGAAGACGAAAGAGGTGAGAACAAGAGGCACAAACAATGAAATTCAAGGCTAATCTGGGGGAGATTTCAGCCTCACCTGTGCCAGTACATGACAGCTTTTTGTTTGTCTGTGCACGGTGGTCAGCAGGGTCCAAAGGGTTTTACAAGCTTTGAAGCCGGAAGGGCCAGAGAACACGCCCCACAAGGACGTGAGGGTCAATGTCAAGGGCATATGAGGGCTCTCTGGTTAGGTGGTTTTGGCTCTGCACTGTTTACTACTTGCCCCTAGTGTGGCCCTAAGAGGCCACAAAAATGGCAGCTATCCCCATGCTGGAGTTGGACTAGAGGACTGAAAATCCGTAATTCTACAATCCCAATTGAAAACAAAACTCATAAATGCGTCAATGGTCTGTCCCCAAGCCCCGTGACCGAGGGCTCGTGCCCAGGAGCCCAGGCAGCAGCCACGGGTTCCCTCCAGCCCTCTTTCCCACCTCTCAGTCCTCGCTCCAGGGACACAAAAAGTGTCTCTCCATCAGAACTGGGATGCTATCACTTCTCCTCTCCTACGAAGTCCTGACAAATCCTCCCTCCATGGCTTCTTTCAGTCCGCGTACACAACCAGGTCTCTAGTCTCTCTTCCTGCAAAGAGCGCTGCCATCCCCCCAATGAACAATCCTGCTTTCCTTTCCCTTCCTCTGCGTGCCACATGGGAACACCTGATACCTCTACTTCCTCCCTTTGGAATCCATTTCTACCACACTGCTGTGAAAGCTTTGAATGCCAAGCAAATGCATCTCAACTTTTTTCAGCAAGCTGATGGAAAAACTGAAGGTGTTCTGAGCAGGAATCACATGCCAAGAACCATGCAGAAGGAAAGTAGTGTGAAGGACCCATGGCGGGTGGGGAGGGAGGGGAAGAATGTGTAGGGGCAGGTGTCAGGAGACTACGGCCATGGCTGAGAATGGTAAAAATGAGGGCTTTTATGAGGGCAGTGGCCACGGGATTAGAGATGGAGCAGTGGCAGACGAGATTCCAGAGGCCTCAGGAACTAAGCCGGAGGCAGCAGGAGCCAAATGGAATGAATGGCTTTGTCCCTAGGCCTCTAGCTGGGCCCTGACCACCTGCTTCCTCAATCTCACTCACATGAATGGATGGACATCTGGAGGCCCAACCTATGTGGCTCACCAGCTGCGGACTGGTCATGTGTGCAGATGACATACACACCTGGCAGACCCGAAGCAAGGATTCCTGTCTCTTCTCCCAAAGCTGGACGGAGCCACCATTTTACCCTCCTGGCCACCGCCCCTGCCACACCTCCTCACTGGCTCTGGCCTGGGCCAGGGCTCTTCCCTCTCAAACTTGCCCCTGAGCTCCAGGTGCTCACCAGACATTTCCAGTGGGAAAGCCTGCAGGCATCTCAAATTGATCAAATTCTGCGACTCTCCAGGACACCGCCATCCTCCCAGCCAGCCTCAACTCCTCCTTGGCACTCATTCCCCACATCCAGCCAACGACCAAGCCTTGTCTTCCCTGGCCTCTGCACTCTCCTGACACCTCTGCTCACCCGTCTGGAGGGGCTCCCTCAGCACAACCCAGGGGTCTGCACTAGACGGGGGAGAGCTGGCATTCATCACTCTTCGCCCTTCTACGCTGCAGGTCAAAGTCAATGCTCTTCCTACATTCATGAGCACCACTCTCCTGTGCCCTGGGCACCACTTGCTTTACGATCCTACAGACCATCTCTGAGGTCACACGGCTTATCCTAGCCTTTGACTCTTGTATTTTTCTGCACTTTGTATCTTCCTCCATCTGCCACAACGGCCATGAGGCACACGGGAACTGAATAAATGCTGAGTGAACAGAAGAGACACTATGGGCACCCCTGGAAAGTCCAGCTAGCCAAACAGAGCCAAGCACAAGTCACACCTGCCTGACAGTCTAGCCTCCTCTCTTCCCCGGCCCAGGTCTGAGCCCAGAAGAGCAGAAGGTCCTGTTTCCAAAATCTCTCAGCAGCTTTGTGAACAAGACAGAAGAGGCTTAGAAGAATCCAGGAGAAGCAGAAGAATCCAACGAGAGTGGCAGGTGATGGACAGATGACCACCAGGGTAAGGTCTCTCTAATGGAAGACCACGATGGCCATTACAGCATGTTTATAACGAGGTGGTTAAAAGAACAGAGCAAACACACGGATCTGCAGGTGACACAGACCAAAAAAAGAAGAGATGCCAAGTAACAGGCCAACCCTATGGGAGATCGCTTTCCTTTACTAAGAAGCAACAAGCTTGAGGACCCTCCACATCCCATTCCACAGTGCGCTTTCACTAGGGTCACCCCGTGGAGCCTGCACCTGGCTCTAAGGTGACCAGCAAACTGAGACTCAGGAAACAAACGACCAGCTCTCTGGAAGCTACTCACACTCTCGGGGAGCCAAAGAAAGCTTAAAGCTTTTTCCCAGCTACTGAAATTAGCTCAGCCAATGAAATGAGAACTCATAAAGAACAGCAACATCCAAACTTTGGTTTTCAGATTAGACTTCAGATTAAGAACTGGATTTGGGTAATGCAGATGGGTTGCTAATGTGAAAAACAATTCAGAGGTTTTTGCAAACTGAAAGCTAACACAAATGTAGGCTATCATAACAGATACAAGTGGAATGACCTTCATCAGAGCATCACAGATGGAACAGGAAAGGACCCAAGACCTCGTTCTACAGAGGACGCGACCGTAGCAGAGTTGAGGTCATGGGGTCCACACCTGAAGTCTAGTCTTTGCTTCAGAGCCCTAGATGGAAGGACATGAATGAGATGCAGGGTATCTGGGAGCGTGACCAGGATGGTGATGTGAGCTACAATTAGGCCTTAGAAGCTCTCAGGGTTCTGAGTGAAATGGAAACATTTGCCTCAAGAAGAAAGCATAAAGAACAATGAGGTGGGAGATGCAGAGAGGCAAAAAAACCCCTTCCCCATCTTGGATTAGCAGCCTTCTTCCACTTTCCTGGCCTCAAGTGGAAAGCAGAGGATCTGATTCCTCACCCCTGCAATGTGGGAATCCTATAAATTCGGGACCACCCCAGGAAAGGTGGGATGAGCTTCCTTGAAGTCTCCAATACAAGATTTCAACCGGAGGCTGGATGTCAAATTGGGGGTAGGGGGAGGGATTCCTGACTAGGTACGAAGGAGTCAGACTAAATATACTGAGGTCTCTTTTAATCGCCTCATTCTAGAAACTGTTCACTGAATAAACCCCTGGAGAAGTCATTGCAAACACACAACTAAAATTCAGTCACTGAATTCTGCTTTCAAATGATAACTCAACCAAGAGGTAGCGAAAAAACTCAAGATGGGGAAACAAGTTCCTTAGATAACTAGCAGATAGGGTTTCTTTAAAAAGAACCCCATGGGGCAGTTAGGTGGCACAGTGGATAGACTACTGGCCCTGGAGTCAGGAGGACCAGAGTTCAAATCCATCCTCAGACACTTACTAGCTGTTTGACCCTGGGCAAGCCACTTCACCCCAAATACCTCCCTCCCAGACACACACAGACACACACAATCCCACCTTCCATTTCTCATCAAATGTTTATATAAAGCAGTAATATCAGCTAGCTTTCTGACCACAAAGCTAAAGACGCTAAAGTGGAAACTTTAATTCAAGTTTGTGAAATGAATGTGCTAGAGACACAGGCCTAGAAGGCAGATCTGAAGAAGTCAAAGCCTTCTGCGCAGGGTGGCAGCTGAAAGGTGAGGGCTTCAGCCAGCAATTCTTACCTTGAGAGAGTGCTCAAAAAGCACAAGTTTGACTTTGGGAAGCCCTCACTTCAGCCTAGGAGTGAGGCTCTTAATGAGAACTAGAATCGCCCCCAGGTGCTAACAGCTCTTTGGTGCAAAGTGAGTGTGCCCAGGGTGAAGCCCCGAGCCAAACTGGGTCTGGGACAGCATTCTCTCCACACAAGTCAGGAAGCCAAGCACAGACTCCTTTCCAAACTGCAGGACCAATATTATCCTCTGTCGTCTTTTAGGTGTGCCCGTTCACAAACAAATATAGTAACACACTCTCACTTTCCCCTTAGAAGAGGGGCTCCAGTCCCTTGCCAAAATAGGAGTCAACATTAAGTGACATATGCTATATTTAGATATCAGGGAGATTATGGAGAGGATGGCATCTCTGAGGGGTCCAGCAAACCTCAGTACCACAAAGTTAGAAGCTGAAGCCACTCTGCCTTCTCCCATGTCACCACTGACTCTCCACTCTCCCCACCCCAAATGCTGCTGTTTCTTATTCTATCACTACTCCCTTTCTTCTCGGTATACACTGGAAACCTACGTCCCCCCCCCCCCCCCCCCTCCCCCCCACCTCCCACCAATGATCATTCCCATTGGATCCAGGAGGCCACAGACGCAGCCGGGAGATGCTTGGCTGTCAGTGTGGCCTTGAAGGGCCCTTGACCCACAAATCTGCCCTGCTCACTCTGACTCCTCTAGTGCCTAGCGCCCCCTCTACTTACCCTGGCAGGACTTGCCAGCCTGGCAATGTGTCATGTGGTTGAGGACATTCTTCATTGTGCGACAGTGGGGAAGGTTGCACTGGCGCACTTCCCCGTTGGCTTGCTCGCGCCGCTGACACTTGTGGGCATGCAAGAGAAGAACAAGTTGCTGTTGAATGAGCTTCCTCTTCTCAGGATCAGCTGTGGGGGGTCCAGAACCCATGCCCTGGGGTGCAGAGGGCACCATGCCAGGTGGCTGAACTTGAGGGGCCTGCTGCTGGCCCTTAGAGAGACAAGAGCAGGAGCTGAGTTAGTGTCCGTTGCGTGCGTCATCCCCCTCATTCCGCTAACACTACTGGTGGGACTGGACAGCTGGGTGGTGACTTCAGTTAAACCGCCCCCCCACCCTCCCTCAACAGAACAAGGGAAGCAGTCCCCCTCCCCAAAGGCGAGCAAAGCCCTGCCACAAAAGTGCCAGGCTCCTCGAAATGCTGTTCCCCCTAAGACTGGACAGAAAAAGTACAACAGAGTGGGCCTGTCAGAGCTAGGAACCGTGGCAGGAACGACAGCGAAAGCAAGCTGAAGTTAATTAGGTGGGTGATATTCCTTCTCCTACGGAAACGAGACCCTACATTTCTTTGGAAGGGAATATCGTTTTGGTTGATTTTGTGAAGTAGGCACATTCTATACAGGTGAAAAGGTTAACAGGGGAAAAGACCAAGAGGCCAAGAGTGGGGAGGGGGTAGAGAGCCAAGGAGCATTTATGTAGCACCTACTGTGTGCAGGCACTGTCCCTGCTCAAGAAGCTCACACGCTAACGGGGGAGACAGCCACGTGCAGACACGGCCTGGCCGTGCGGGGAAAGGCTGCGTGCAGAAGTTCAGAGCTAAGGCCGCCCAGTTAAGGAGTCAGCAGAGCCAGAACCGAAACCTCAGGCTCATGACTGCAGTCCTGTCCCGCTTCTTTCCCAAAGTTCGCTCGGTCCTAACAGATGGACAGGCTTCTAAATGCCATGCTTGGAGGAAGTGGAGGTGGCATGAAGGAAGAATACCCTGACACACTTACACAGGCACAAAGAGGAATAATAGAGTCAAAACCAAACCAAACCAAAAAACCTCGGGCAGACATTAAAGGCTGCGGACTCTTACTTAGTCCAACTTCTCCCATGACAAAGGAGGACAGACACGACCCTGTTCCGTACAGGAAGAGGGGGACATGGGCAGCTGCTGGGCAGACCGTCAATATACCTAGAGTCTGTCAGGCCGTGGTTGTTAGCAAGGTCCTAAATGCTGTCAACTGCAGAGAATCACTGTGGGGGCACGGCAAAGAGACGTGGGGCCGGACCCTGGCACTCGCCAGCGAGGTGTTCACAGGCTCTCTGGGCCTGAGTTACCTCAACTGTAAAATGATGAAAACTGTGCATGTCACACTTGCCTCATGGGAAAGAGGGGGAGGGGGCACCACGGGAAGAAATACTTTATAAACCTTAAAGTACTATATAGAATGGGAGCAGCTTCTATCATCTATCTTGACTTTATTCCTGGAGATTTTAACAGAATATATCTTCATTTATTGGCTTAACTTGGTACCAAGGCATAATCCTTGAGGAGCAAGGGGGAGGGAAACGCTATCATTGCTCTTTCTTAATTCCAACGCCACCCCCTCCCCCCATCTGTTACTCCCCAGCCTCTGGGACACAGTACCATGCCTATGTTTAAAGAAAGAATGAAAAGGCAGAGAAAAGCAAGTTATGCATGTTCATGCACAATTCAATTTCTTCATATATTATAGAAGAGGGATGACTGGGGGGCAAGTGGGAGTGTCAATTCTCATCCTCAACCACAAAGTTCCAACCTATGCAGAGATAAGGCAATAATAACCTTAATCCCAACTTATCAAAGAACATTACCTACCATGTTAGGCATTCCTGCTCCAGGGACAGGCTTTTTGTCAATTGGAAATTGGGGTAAGCTGTTGGGTATTCCAGCCTTGTTTTGCATCTGGGGTCCAAGTCCACTGGCTCCAATCTGCTGAGCAGAGTTCTGGCTAAATGGTGGACCATAAGGATTGGGATTGTTCATTATTCCCATCTAGGAATGACAAAGGAGAGAGGCAGAAATTAAATCAATATGTCAGCGTGTCAACTAAGTAACCATTTTAGTCTTTTCTAGAAAATCTTTGATTAATGAAGGCATTTTAAACAGGAAATGTCACTTCTGAACCACCTAAGTGGCTGTGACACACATCAACAGAATCAGACACTTTTAAGATAGAAAAGATTCTCAATACTTCCGAAGGAGTTACATACTGGGGATTTCAAAACTAAATACTAGAAACTAGAAATGTTTAGGGGGAAAAAATCTCTTAATTAAGTTACATGTGTTTTACATCCTACATAAGGCTAACCATTCAGCTATAGAAAAAAAAGTCACTTTACAGCACGGCTGTTTAAACTTTTTCCACTCGTGACTCCTTTGGTGCTTCTTCAACTGTGGCTTGCAATCCCTTATGGGGTCGATAGAGTAGAGGCCCGTAAACAGTTTAAGGTATCTCTTTTTTAACAATACATTAGACTCAATCTATTTTTCCCCAAATGTACCTTGACAGACACGCAGGCTTCATATGTAAGAGAATGACTTCTCCAAAGGGCTTCTTACTCTCCGTTTCCCACTTTATGCTGTGTGTGTGTGCGCGCACGCGCGCAAGGGCGCGTGCTGTGTCCACAAGACCTCTTGGAGCCATTGTAGAGCATGACGGCTACTCCCAGTTTAGAGTCATTACTAGGAAGTCTCTTCAAACTGTCAATTTTACCATGCAATAATGGCACAACTAAAGAAATGACTAAAATCTCAGCTCTGAAGCTGAGACAGGCAAGTTCAGGTGAGCAGCCTACACGTCTGCTTCCATTAGCACACAGGTAAAGATGTAGGAAATTGTTTATAGGCCTCCCTGCCATGACTCAGGGACAAAAAAAAGAAAAGGTTGTGCTCAAAATAAGAAAAAACACCCCACCCCCACCTAACAGGAGCTGAGGAAGGCCGAGCTGCTATGCTGCCACAAGTCCAAAAAAGTTCACCAGCAGTGAACCAACACAGCCCATGGCTTTTAAAAATCTTGCAGGCAATTTCTTATGCGAAGCTTCCCACTCTCACTTACTGGGGAAGAAGTCTGGGTAAACCTCTGACAGAGGTTCATGTGCTTCCTAAGCCTCCAGCCTCAGTTAACCCATCTGTAAAGTGGTGAGCACACGACCTCACAAGGGGAGGCAGGATATTTCTAAAGAACCATACAAGATGGGCACTGCTACTCTCATGTTGTCTTGTAGATATCAACAGACTTGATTTAGCCTAGTACCCAAGGTCCCTGAGGAGCCATAATCATTCTAACACTACTGTGTAATAGTGTCGGGGTGGAGGTGGGCGCAAAGAATCCTGATGGTTGTAAACACCATATATTTGTACAATGTACATGGAACATGGAGGGCCAAGACAAAGGTAAAGAGCCCAAGGATTCAAGCAAGGAGAAAATAGGTTCAGAAACTTTCTCCAGAGGCTATTTAGCGATTACAGGGTACCCAAATTTGATTTAGGTCTCAAACTCTTGACAATTCCAAAATAACAGCTGGAGTCTTGCGAAGGCCCAGAATGAATCTGAGATCCGCTCAAAGGTTAACTGGTGAGAAGTCTGCCCCTTCTCCTTGTGTACTACTCCCCCACCCCCACCCCGGGAGGGCAGAGCCACCGAAGATAGAAATGACCACTCCCATCAGCAAAGAGGGAAGAGAAAGAGGCCTCCCTAAATAAAAACTAAAGCTTTCTCCAGTACCTCACTGCTCTAGCAGGACGTGAGGAACAGTTCTCCTTCCCTTCTGATGTATCTGTTCAAGTGTTAAGTTAAGGAGGCAAGCATATGTTCAAACTATATCAAAAGGGGCTAGGCAGTGGGGGAGAGGTGATCTAAGCAATATAAAAACAAAATTTATCAACAAATATCTATTTAAAGAATAAAAGTTGAACTCACATGCTAGGATCAGATACCCCAAACCAGTCACATAACCCCAATAACTTGGGGAAGGGAATGAAACAATCAGGGGGAGACTGGCTAGCCACCAAATGATACACTTTAGGTTTAATCTGCATGATTAACATTTTTTCCAATTACATTCTTAAGTCTAAACAATCACCAAAAAATCATTTGTAAATGTTCACACTCAGAAATTCACAATTACCCTGAGCAGGTTCAAGGGGGCTCCAACTGGAAATCGCCCTGTTTAAGCTGGAAATAAAAGTACTATCTTCCCCCTTCCAGTTTCTGCTGGTGTTATTGGTGTTATATGAATGACTTGTTGGAACCTCCCCTAACAAATAATGAACTTCTACCTCAATCACAGGAAGCCAGGAGTACAGCTTCAAGGGAAATAATTATTCTAAATGGAATTTTATTGTGCAGTAACCAGATGCAAGGAATTCAGAAGTACAAATTGATGCAGAATAAAATAAGCAGAACCCCAACCAAGCTACAATGATGTAAATAAGAAGACCACCACATTTTCAGTACCTGAAAAAACTAAAAAATGGATTGGAGACCAGACAATCCAGGGTAAGGTCTAGACTGTCATCTACACTGCCTGAAAAAAAAATCACGATCTTTGTTTCTTTCCTGTTACAAAGGAGGATTTTCCATTGGGGGTGGGGGTCATCCCCAAATGGCTGTGATATTTTTAAAAATCACATGATTCTCTAAGTTCTTCCTGGGTGTTCCTGTGCCTACCACCACACATTTTAGCCGCTCTCCCAAGGTAACCACCTACGCAGCGGGTGTGGGTAAAAGGGTGTCTGCAAGGGTAAGCACAGGAAGCTACATACACAGCGCAGCCCCAGTTTGTACCCATTTGGGTCCTTAATAAGAAACTCTAGCAGGGATAATGCACTGACAAGGGAGCCTGCAGCTGTATAGCTGATTAAAACTACAGGTCCCAGGGATGGCATCTTCTTTTTCATTTAGTACACAAGGAATGAAAGATGGAAATTTTCAGCTCAAAAGGTTATAATAAAAGGGTTTCTGGTTCTGCAGAAAGCCTTCACAACTAAAAAGATGACTTCCAAAAAGTATTAAGAGGCAGCTGAAAGATCTAACTGCCTTCACACTCAAGGTGAGTAGGATCCTGAAGAGCTGCTGATCAGCGCTTTCTTCCTTTGGATCTCTCACTATCAAGGGGAATTCTTCAACCCTTTGTGATCTGCTTATTTAACTGTGCCGACCCATCTGGAGGAGGCAGCCCTTCATTCTCAGAGGTGTGAGGTCTGGACTCCTGGCTTCTGGCCAGCGCTGGCTAAACTCAATGGCCTTTATAGAAACTGGTTGTTCATGAGGGGCTTCTGAAGTGCTAAGAGACCAGTTTGTGAACAAGAATACCCTTCATGTCCTCCACAATTCATATTTTTGGTTTTAAAATCATCTTCATTTCAAAACACAGCACCCTTGTACCCAGCAAGCCCATCCTTTGTATCACAAGGAAAAGAAATTCCAAAATACAGTTGGTGTTCGTCTGCTGGGATACGCTAAAGAAGGTTACGAGAAGATGCATTTTCTTCTTTCTCTGGGGCCAAGACTGGTCATTGCAATTATAGAGCGCTCAGGCTCGGTCTGGCCTCATCCCATGTTTGTGGTCACTGAATACACATTTCCTATGGCTCTCCGTGCTAATATTCTATTACATCCATGTACCCCAATTTGTTCAGCCATCCCCCATTGGTGGATACTTCTTTGTTCCAGCTCTGTTACCACTTGGGGTCACAGGCCATTGACCTACGTCATTCAAAACTCTATCTCAGAGTGGCTGACCTCACAGTCCCACCAATGCTCTGTGTGGGGCGATCACCACTTCTCCAACAACGTCTACCCCCATCTTTAATCACCTTGGATGATTTTGGGGTTTTACAGTGAGCTGGAATTCTCTTATGATTGGTGACAGTGAAGCAATCTTTCAAATGGCTGGTAACAGTTTTCTGACCACTTATACCCAGGTAAAAAGTTCATCACGGTGTAGATTTCATAGCCTTCATCTTGTCACAAACATCAGACTACATATTTTGCCCAATTCCTGCCTTCCTATTTTAACCTTGTTGCAAGACTTTTAAAATTGCATGTAAATGAATATATTTTTATTGTTCTCTTTTGTGGTTGTGATCACCTGGTTAAGATATCTCCCTCTGCCCCCTCACTGGTCTATATTCTCTTTCCCCATTTTGTAAGCCCCAACCTGGGGCTGGTGGCAGACACGGAGGCAGCTCTTGTCCGGTGTTGGATTCTTTATCTAGTCCGTACGACCACCAGTCAGAGTGAAAAGTCCAACCACCAGCAATACTTGTTGCTGACAAACTACTTGTCGCTGACTACGTTAAAATTGTCTTTTAGGTACCGTAAATTAAATATACACCCTAAGAATCAGGAGTTAAATGCTCCCAACAAGTTTCAATAAAGTCTAGTTTTAGCACCTCTGCGAGTTTCGTTTTTTGACTTGCGTTTAGTGCGAAATTACATTGTGTTATTGTTACTGCAAGAAGCTAAAAAGTTAGGACACCTTCAAAATTACCTTGCAGTAATGTAGTTTTCTCAGTTCGTTCCTTCAGAATGAGTTAAATGACTATCTTTACAGAGCTCTATGGGTTCTGCAAATCCCCTTTTTACAACAGCCTTGAGAGACAAGCAATGACTGGATTTAAAGCTGGTAGTTTAGAAATGAAGAAAAGGGAGTTTTGCCATAACTAGTAATTTTTGCTTAAACTAGTACAATTTAAGTCAAGCTAGACCTGGGATTCGATCTTTGTTTCTAAGCCCACAGCTTGTCCTATTCAGTAGATCAGTACGGGGCACCACCTTTCCAGTCCAACTTAACAGAAACTCTCAAGGTACATTTCATATTACATAGAAATGACAAAATCTGGGACCAACAGAGCCCTGGAGGGTTTGCTAACTGGAAGCTGAAGAGTACCCAGGCTTCGCTTTTCTCTTCCTATTATAAACATACTGACTCTATCACTTTCATCCAATTCCTGTACAAAAGGACACTGGTAGATGTGGTTGTGTGCTTCCTCCAGCGAGCGAAGTTGGCCATCTGGGATGTGAAACTCAGCATTTCTCTAAAGTAGCTAACCTGCCTTGCAGATACTTCCACACTTGTATAAAACCTCGGTGTGCAAGCCCATCACCAAAGGTGCATTCTACAGGATACAACAATCGTTCTTGCTCCTACGGTCCCACACGCTGCTAGATCAAAAAACTCATTAATTACACGATCGCCCTATTACTGCTACCTGCCCACTGCAACTCCGACACCAATACCAACATTTGTGCCGCTGTCCACAAATAACAAATGGTTCTAATCTTGCCAACCTGAACAAGCGAAGTCACCCAAGCAGTGTATCTGGAAAAAGGTTCACCTTGCTAAGGTCCCCTTTGTCACCCCAAACGTTTCTGGGCTGCTGTTGCATAGTAGGAAGTATACAACCAAAGAAAACTAATTTAATCAAAGCAAGTAAGTAAATCTGCTGCTGCAAGTCATGAAAAGTTAAGTAAATCTGTGGCTGCAGGTCACGAAAAGACTGACAAGTATCCTGGTGGATTGAGGGCCAGAAACCTGAATTTCAATCCTGCCATAGACCGTTAAACAGCTGTTGCCCTGGCCAGATCACTTTTCCTCATTGCCTAAGTTTCCTCCTCTGTAACACAGAGGTATTAACAGCATTAATGCGAGGATCCAATGAGCTGACACATATAAAGAACTTCGCAAAGTTGAAAGGTTATAAATGTCACTTAAAGAGGCACTGGGGCAGCTAGGAGGTACACAACACAGCACACCAGCCCTGGAGTCAGGAGGACCTGAAATCAAATCTGGCCTTAGACACTTGCACGACTCTGGGCAAGTCACACTTAACCCTATTTGTCTCAGTTTCTTCAATGGTAAAATGAATTGGAGAAGGAAATGGCAAACCCCTCCAGTATCTACCAAGAAATCCCCAAACTGGGTCAATTAGAGTTGGACATGACTGAAAAAAAAAAAAAAAACACTGAACATCAACGAGAGAAGCTTTGGAAGACTTAAGTGAACTGATGCAGAGGGAAGGCAGCAGAGACAAGACTGTGACTGCAACAATGTAAATGGGAAGACTCACCACAAAACAATCCCACAGGAATACGGCAGGATAGCAAAGAACAAGCTTGGCCTCTCAAAAAAGCTGAGAGAAAGACCCCTTAGCCACCTCTTTGCAGAGGGAGGAGGTCCATGGGTGTAGGACATTCAAACAATCAATAAGCATTCTTACAATGCACACATTTTGACTTTTTTTTCAATGTAGTGACCAGTTCTGCTCTTTTTCTATAAAATATTGTTTATTAAAAACAACATATCAGATGGCTCTGAGAGGAGGTATAACACAGTCTGATCAAACAAATCTTTGTTGGTGTTCAGCGGCTTTTTTCAGCTGTGTCCCCAATTAGGGTTTTCTTGGTAAAAATACTGGACTGGTTTGCCTTTTCCTTTTCCAGCTCATTTTAAAGATGAAGTAACTGAGGCAAACTGAATGAAGTGACTTGCTCAGGGTCATACAGCTAGCAAGTAGATGCCATTTTAGAGACTTTAGCCAGAATTCAGCATTAAAGCAACACTGTGCTCTTGCCTCCAAGAACCTTCCATTGCATTGGGGAAAACCACATGTACACATCCATTTAAGTAACAGATGCATTACAAGGAGTGGAGTGGTTGATGCTATGTGGTGAATAAATTGAACTGTGAATGTGGTGAGTGAAATGAAGGAAGTTAAAGATTCGAGATGCAGTGGTGAGTTGGGGAACGGTCTAAGTAAAAGCATGGAGATGGGAAATGGGGGCCATGGAGTAGGTCAGTTTTGTTAGAACATAAGGTATGTGAAAGTGCACAAAGGGCAAATCTCTAGTCTGCAAAGGCAGAGGGTGGGGGTGGGTGCGGCTCGCAGCAGAGCGACTGATGCACACCGGGGCGTATCACGTCGGCAGCTAAAGATGGGTTAGAGAGATGGGAGACCAATGAGTGGACACGACCTGGAAACACAGTGAGAGACGTAAAGTAGAATGTTGCTAACTATTGACCCTTACTTGTCCAAAAAGAGATAAGGTTCTTTGAAAGGCATGCTGCACTAACCAAAATGCTCTTTCCCCTATCACCAAATCATGAAATTATCAACATGATTTAAAAACCATCCAAGGAAAGTCATCTGCAAACATCTTACTGATGGGCTCAAAACTCAAAACAGCTACTAACGCAGCTACTTTCCAGAGCATCTGGAATCTTGTTTGAAAAAGCTGGAATAAATGCCAACAAAAAATTTGTACCAGGAATCAAGAGCCCCGTGCCCCACACTCTTACCTTGCTCAAAGCTCCTCCAGGCTGTGGACCCCTTAATCCGGTTTGTCCTCCCATCTGGGGAGACCCTTGCTGCAGAGGCTCAGCTAGTAAACTGCCAGCACTTCCCATGCCTTGGTTTGGATACGGCATGTTAGGTCGCCCTCTGCCTGCTCCAATGGAACCGTTCATGACTTGACTTGGCATCATCCCCTGTCCGTTGCCTGTAGCTAACATGCCAGGATTCATGCCAGCCCCCATACCTGTGTTCATCCCTAGTCCAGGCTGATTAACTGGACTGTTCACTCCTGGGATCATACCAGCAGCAGACTGTGCAGAAGGACCTTGACTTGGCCCACCGGCACCCACTCCCATGTTAGGAGAAGTCAAGGTGGCCTGGGCCATGGGGCTTTTGACCATGCTATTCAATATTCCCATTCCAGGACTGTTCTGCTGGCCTTGAGTAGCCATGCCTGGGCCAGGACCACCAACTCCCATATTGAGATTCGGGGAACTGCCAGCCCGTAACAATTCAGAAAGCTGTTTATGTTTCGAGGCAGCGTCTTGCGTTATGCTAATACTTGTCTGGATCTGACTAATGTCGCCACCATTGGTAAGTCCCAATTCTGACGAGTTGATTAATTCATCCGGCAAGTCATGTTCTAGGTCAAACAAGGATCCAAAATCTAGAAGAGAAAAAAAACAAGAGAAAATTAAAGCTTAGCAAATGAGGAGACACAGAGCTCAAGCAGAGGTTTTCACCACTGAAAACGTGCAAGGCTCTTCTCACTTCACCTCACGGAACCACAAGCCAAGTCTGAAGGGGGCAAACAACAGGGAAAACGTCGTAGGGGAGCCACCTAACAATGTACAAGAAGCACCAAACTCACTTCCTGACCCGGTGAAACTACGAGAAATATATGTGATGAAGAGACTTGAAGCACAGCAGTTAGTTATGCTATTTGTAACACACAGAAAAGAGGAATTTACGTCTTTTAATGGTGGAATGGCTGAAGAAATAGCAGTGTAATGGATACTGTACCACAGAACATGACAATGAAATGTAAGGAAATAGATAAGTAACACCGTGAAGATGGCAAAGTGCCAGTAACATATACATTACAGACTGACAGCTCGACGACGGGCCCAGGCACAAATAAGGTTTCTAGCTATTTGGGGATGGAGCCAACATTCAAGTTTGATTGGCTGAACTGTGCGTATTTATTGAGGAAGGGGAGGTGGGAATAAATGATCAGAAATAATAATTTTAAAAGGTTATGACAACCAAATCAAGCATAGAGAGAAAGAATATGAGCAAATGCATTGTTCTCAAAGTCTACACTATTTTTCCCATTAAATGAAAAGCTAAGTTCTACGTTTTCATTTAGGAGTCTCACTCCATATTACTGGCATCTGGTGAGAAAAAATGAAAATCATATGAGCTTAGGATATAGTACCTTACATGTTATAGGTCCTCAATAAAATGTTACAGACCACCAGGTGTAGACACTAGCATTTGGATTGGAGATGGCCTTGGCAATATCCAATTACACACTTATCTAATTCACAGGGCTTTAAAAGATGAAGCCATGAGCACCTTCGAGGTCAGGGCCCCATCATCTTCCTCATTACTTTCGCGTAGGAAGACACAACTGGCACCAATGGTCCACCACCACATCAGCTTTCAGTCTGTATGCAGGACTTGCCCTTGCCACATTTAAGATGGCTGGACAGTGTGAAATGCACAGACTGGGGTGCAGCAGACTTTTTTCTATGGAAAGAGAATTGGCCCCTTTACATAGGCCTATCATTTTGGCTTCCTCAGTCTCATATTCTCACAAACTACACTAAGTAGAGTCATACATTCACTATGTCATGACCTGAGAAATACAGCTTTGACCTAAAAAGAAATTTCTGTTTCTAAATAGTAACTAACAATTAAAACCTCTCACAACAAATTCTACTGGGGAACATTATTTTTTTCATCATAATGAGATTTCTCTATAATAAATAACGGAAGGTCATGGGACCACCAGTGTCTGCCAACATCACCCAAGGCAATGAGTAGAAGCAGTTGCTAGCTGTGGGTCCACCTGCCACTTCCCAATTGAGGATATGGGCTGGAAGATGAAATGATACCCACTGACCGTCAGATCCAGAGGATAACAAGGAGCTAATTAATGGAAACCCCAATATTCAGGGCTTCAGGAACTGATAAGAGGGTGAGAAAATGTGGGAGTGCAGAAGAAACACAGGGAAGCCCCACGGTAGGATACAGAAAAGCCAGTAATGGTGCCCGAGATGATTTCCAAAGTAGACTCAATAGTAGTATGAGTGCATCAAGCCGGTGCCAGGCAGAGTCCAGTTCTATTACTACTATGTGACCTGCAACTACTCATCTCTCGGGAAACTCAAGTTTCTTTAAATCTTCAAATAAGGGGACTGGAACGGATTGTTTTTAAGGTCTTCTCCATCTCCAAATCTTGTGAAGTTTATGAAAACACTATCTTGTAAGATGAGTAGAATTTTCAACTAGAAATATGAAAAGTTTTGTTTAATTTCCTACAATCGGTATGATACTAAATACCCGTTCATCATGATCCTGGATTTTCATGCCAAGGAAGCCAAGTTCCAAGGTTCGGCACCATGAGGGAAAGGCCTTGAGGAGGGCATCTGTAGCTGCCTGCATGTCTGCCGCCCCACAGATCAAGCTAAACTTGGGGAGTCTAGTCCACACTCAGGGTGGCTGCATGCAAGGTGGGTCCTCTGCCAGCTAGAGTAGCTATGGAAAACCATGGGAAGGCGGTGGCTGTGGGTGGTGTTCATGTAAGAAGTGACCACAATGACAAAGGCATGGGTACTCCACTAGGTTGCTGGATCATGTGCGCATCATGGAAGTATAATGGAAAGTAAAAATAATACTAAGGATACTGTGAACCTCAACAGGTCCACTCAAACGGTTTTGGTACTGGCATTCTTTACTTCAAAGATGAAAAAGGAGAGCGTTGGAAAAGCTGGAAGATGAATCTTCCAGATGCATGAAAGGTCAATGTTTATAAAAGGACTGACATGCTGTTTATGTTAGAGCAGCTTCAAGGCTGAACCAGTCACTGCACTGTGAACCCCAAGAAGGCTTGGAGAGAAAGGTGCCTACCCTTCGGGCCAGTGAAGATGAAGCTTTTAGCTCCAGACATACCTAACTTCCCTTAACCTAATGAAGAGCTCTGAAGAATGCAGAACATTGGGGGAACAAACATGTAGACTGTTTATCACTCAGATATCATTTTATACAAGGTAATTAACTAAGTTAGTTACGTCGTGTTTCATGTAAGTTAAAACCAATTATAACTGTAACACAGTAGAAAGGGGAAAAATTAAAAAATTTCCATCACCTTGGCCATTTTAAAATGTGTTATCTTTTTTTACACAATTTTACAAAGTATTTCCTTCCACAAGTATCTTTTAAAAATACTTATAAATGAAACATATAAAATTTTAAAAATTATCCTTATTTTACAGGCAAGGAGTCCAACATCAGGGATTAGATTTAAAGCAGGCCAGGCTTCCCACCCAATTAATTGGCACCCATTATCTCCTCTTCAATCAAACTCTCCAGAGATTGCCATGTTGGGGGGAGGGGATGAGACCTCAGCACAAAGGGGCTTGTCCTAGGGTGCAAGAGAATGCCAATAAAATATTAGATTATGATTTTCCAAATAAACTTCTCTGTGGGCAAAGTGCTGTGCCTAGTCACTTTGGACACACAAAAAAGTTAAATCTGAGTTACGATATTCAAGTCACTCTAATTTAAGAAGGCTGAGAGATGTATCTAATACATTTTAGAAACTTTAGATTCTCACTAAAAGGACAAGCTAAAGTTGTTAGGAAAGTTCACTTATTCAAGATTTTCTCCTCCAGTCCCTGATCAAGATATCACTGTAGACAGGATAGGCTAGAATAGGTGTGCCAGGAGAGTATCAGGTACAAGGTGGGTGTCACCTAAGGGGGAACAGGTGTCAGACAGGCCTGACTTCTAACTAAACGAATACTCACAAAATGGACATGAGGCTTTAAGACTGCCCAGTAAAGACACAAAGGACAGCGGAGAACACAAACCCAATGACTGATCTCTTCTGCTACGAGTACAAATCTTCTACTATGAGAAAGAGCTAATAATCAGATCTGACATCAGCTCCCAAAACTGAAAATTATGAAGAATTAAATATGAATTTACATTCATGCAGCTAACAAAGTGGCAGGGTGGATAGAGCCACACATAGAAGGAAGAGCATCCCAGGGACGGAGCAACCAGGGCAAAGGAATGGATACCATTCCTATATCACAGCAAGATAGCCAGTGTAGCTACAAATGAAAAAATGGAGAAGAACCCAGGAAGGTTGGAAGGTTATGACCTAGCCAGTTTGGGAAAACAAAAAAGGACTTTATTTCATCCCAGATCCTGGAACTAAGGACAGGAACTGTGTTTCAGGGAAATCACTTTATGGTAGAAGGTATACTGGAGTGCAGAGAGATGACAGGAGGTGACTGAAATAGTCCAGGTGAGAGGTGATTAAGGTCTGATCTAGGGTGCTAGTTGTGAGTAGAAGCAGGACATTCAAAAATGTGGCAGAGGGAGAAAGAGAAACACTTGGCAACTTATTGGACATATGGGATAAGCAAGAATGAGACTAAGTCCAAGGCTGCCTTCCTGGGGTCGGAAAGAAGGCCTGCCAATGGATCCGCTCAACCTAGGCCGCCTGAAAGACACGTACAGGAGAGCGACCAGGAATGGATCCATGAATAATAGAAACCATGGATGCTGATGGATAAGGTCAACAAGGGAGAAAATGTGGAGAGAAGGCCCTGGAGAGCGACTTGTGGTGCCCCCACAGTTAGAGGGGTGTGCCATGGATGATGATCTGGCAAAGGAATGGTCAGAAAGGCAATATTAAAGATAGGCAACATTTATATATCTCTAAGGTCTGCAAAATAGTTTACGTCTTACTTTTATCTCACGTGAGATAGGTGCTGGGAGAGAAAGCAGGGTCTCTAGCGTTGATGCTACCCACTTCCTGCCAGGTGTGATAGGCCCAAGCTGCAGGATGAAACCGTTCTGGTCATAATACAAAGGTTAAAGGGGCAGCTAAGTGGTATAGTGGATAGAGCACTAGGCCTGGAGTCAGAACACCCAAGTTCAAATCTGGCCTCAGATATATATTAGTTGTGTGACTCTGGGCAAGTCACTTAACCTGTTTGCATCAGTTTCCTCAGTTGTAAAATAGGGATAATAATAACAACAAGGGTGTTTGTAAAGTGCTTAGCACAGTGCCTGGCACAAAGGAATCACAAAAATGCATATATCCTTCAGCTAAAGGCAAACTACACAAAGTAAAAGAGCATCATGGCTTCACACACAGAGCTAGGTTCCATTAATTCCAGTTTAATTAATGTATAATTCAATTTAGTGCTTATCATAAAGTGATAAAAGGCTGAATGTGATGAGCCAAAACTTTATTAACATGAGGGCTGGCATGCTAAGCTTGCATTACCTGTGGATGAGGTACACTATCGCACACTACCAAGAGTTGTGTAAGAAAATGGGCAAAAGGAAGAAGACTGCAGAGGGACCAAAAAGACAAGACTTCTTACTGCATCAGAACAAAAATGTGATGTAACTGAATGGCAT